AGAAAATCAAGCAGAAATGATTCTACAAAAACGGTATTCARTTATAGACTTAGTCGAGCTAGACGTGTGACCGAAAACGCGTTTGGTTTGCTAAGCCAWGTTTTTCGTGTTTTTTATCAACCCATTAATCTCGAAACCTCGACTTGTGACGAYTTGATATGGGTAGCTTGTACATTACATAACATGTTAAGGGATGGTTATTTGGAAAATAACAAACGCCCATACTACGAATATGACCATGACCAAGACGTCTTGTACTTGTACTTGTACTTGTACGTCTAAGTACTTACCTTCCAACAGCATGTTACCCATACGTAGAGGAGGTGGATTTTTAAATGCAAACGGATTCGAGGTGAGAGAACGATTTAAAACATTTTTCAATAATGAAGGATCAGTATCTTGGCAGACTTAATTTACTTACATTTTATACTTACTTATAATTTTTCTTAATATACCAAACTAATATTTGTAATTATGTAGTTATAATAAAACAATGTATTATAAACTGTTGTCATAATATTATGTTCATTAATATTATAAGAAAAACAAAAATTTTAAATTTTTATTAATTATTTTATTTTATCATTCATCTTTCATGATAATGTCTTTATGGCTTGACTTTGACAGGTCATAAAGTACAGGATTATTACGCACTTCTTYGATTAGTATTTCCTCTTGATCAGGCAAAAATATAACTTTGGCAACATTTTGTGATTCAGCCATGGTATTTAAATATAGGTAGGTACTCGTATAGTAGAGTATAGAATAAAATCGACAATTATAGCAAATGCCGCTGGCGACTGTCGCTGTACACTGCTTTCGACTGAGTAGAGCCGCGTGTCGCAGCGACTCACTCATAGTCACAAAGCCGCAATCGCTCATTGGAAACCAGTCCATAGGAATCGCGTAAAAGCAGTGCGGCCGCGACTGTCGCGGCGGCTGGCCGCTGCGGCTAGCCGCGCCTTGGACACCGTACCTTTAGAAACACATGTGTATGCGGGAAAGGATTCGTCATTAAGAACCCAGGTGGTCATCCATCCAGGAGCTAGTGACGCCAGGCGGTGCTTAACAACGATAAAGACTACGGCCAACCACCGAGCCACACCAGTCCCAAATTACACTTTATGTGTGTCCATCGTTTATATTCTAAATAAAAATGTTATTTTTGGTATTCTTACATTAGTACGACTATTGTGTCCATATACCAGGCCAGGGGCCATTATTTTTCAATGTATCAACTGCATAGCCTGGTTTTACTGTTTAGTTTAAAACGCATGTAAATAGGACGAGGATTTGTCACTAAGAACCCAGGTGGTCGCCCATCCAGGAGCTAGCGACGCCAGTCGATGCGTTAACCTCAGAACAAGTAAGTGAATTCGGCTATAACCATCGTAACCACACATTAGGCCTCAAATTTATTCTTTAAACATATAGAAACAATAACATAATCTATTATATGAGATTATTAATACTTGTACGTCTATTTTTCATCAAGTTCAAGTATATTTTTTTGTTTATTTAGATAATAATTACAATAGGTACGTATGTCACTTAAAATATTGAATAGGTATTTGAATATTTTTAATTTGTTTATTTTAGCCCCATAAATATTGACTATTGATACTACATATTTTCTGACAAAAACCTTTAAAATTTATTACACGATTCCTCATAATATTTTTGTTTATTGTCAATTTCTATAGACAGTGCAATTTAGAAAATATTTAAACTATACTTTATCTTTTATTTCCTTGGATCTATATTTTACATCATTATAATATACGATATCGGTACGTCAGTATTGAGTTATAACTGAATAACAATGGTAAGTATATGATTAAAAATTGTAATAAATAATACAATGATAATTAATAGTGTATAAAGATATTTATTTTATTTTAAACATTTATTTAAAAGGCTCCTATTGTCTTGTGAATAGTCAAAAAAATATTGAGATAATAACTCCTATGTGTATGTACTGCATTATTTATATAGATATATACACGAGAATTAAATATAATATAATTAATTTAAATTAATATAATTCATAAGCGTACATATGAGGTGTTCACCCAAGAATTTTTTTTCAATGAGTACAAGGTTATAGGTCTCTATTATATACAGAGGTTAAAGTGGGGAAAAATTCCAGAGGGAACTAATGTCTCCATATATAATTTTAGGTATAATGTCTAATGTATAAAATCCTAATTTGTTAAAGGGGACGCTTTTTAACCGCCGTCAGAGGTAATAGGACTGAGTCCTCCTGCGCCCCCCCCCCACTTTAACCCCTGATTATATAGATATTAGATGAATAATGAAGTTTATATGTAACTAAAATATACCTAAAATAACAATAAAAATATGTTTTGCTAAATTTATAGTTTATTATATTTTCTAATGCTGGATTTAGAAAATATTACCAGTTATGATCTAAAATTGTGTTTTATGACTTATCAATTATAACCACGGGTTTCCTATTAGTTATTTCAAAAACCTACATAAGTTTTAATTATAATATTAGTCTGAGCCCGGTGACCAGAAAAAACGTCGAAGGCGTTGCACTCGAAAATTTATTTTAAAAGCTTCTACAGTCTTTATGGGTAGGTAGTGTAAAATAATTTTTAATTTACAATAAAATTAAAACACAAATCATCGATATGCTTCGAAAGAAACTGTGATAATTTACTTTTAAAATATACACATATGGCCATATGTGATATGGATAACAACCATTTACCATTTAAATAAGGCTAATGCTCACATTATTAGTTGCCATTAATGCTCTATTATAATACAATAACTAAATGATACGAAGACTTGCTTTAGGTTTAGAATAAGTACAATGCGCCTATACGTAATATATTAATAAAATAATAACGATTGTAGAATTTCACGGGACATATAATGAGAACGACGCCCGTGCGGCCGTGCGTCATATGTGTACCTAACTATTTTTATAAACGTGTACATAAATATATAACTTATCTGTGACCTTTGCATGATGAAACGAAAACTTGGGCTAGCGTATTTTATACATTGTTTATTCGGGAATAAAAATATATAAATCACCTAATACGCAGATTTTCCGAGGTAATAAATACTTATCTTATAGCACTAGAAAATAAAATTAAGCCTCAAAGGCCAAAATAATATGAAAATAAATTCAACTTACGTAAAAATCGGCTGTTTCGACAAGTTCAATTCAATTTGCTTATTGACATTTTAGAATTGTTACACACATTCTCCGTCCTTCGCAACGATTGTAAGTCAGTCAATCGCCATAGACAAGAAATATAATATTGTAACGTAAATATGATGAATCCACGGATATAATAAAAAACAATTCAATAGCTTAATGCTTACTTGGTTTGGTTTTTATGTTGAATTCAATTCGGATAAGGTGACCGAATTTTCCCATTTAATATGTTGATGTTTAAAACATGTTTGTGGTTTTTTATTGAAAATTTTTATAATATGACAATAACTAAAATAGTATATAATTTTATATTTTAATTATGATTGTTTATTAATATGGTGTATACAGTGTACTGTGTATAGATCTATAATCAATCATATATTTTTTACTAGAATAATATTCTTATTATGAACCAATAAATAAAAATTGTTTAAAAAAAAAAATGGATTATATTGCTATTTAAAGTTATAATTATCATAACACGTAGTTATACAATATCATAAAATTATCAAATATACTGTATCAGCTAAAACACTATAGTTTGTAAAACTTTAAGTCAAACATTTTCTTTGAATACTTATATTGTTATTTGTTGAACACGAAGTTAATAATAATTATTGAATACACATATTATAAACTATATAATTATGCGTTAAATCAAGAAACACAATAGTATTTTTTATTTTACAAAACACCCTTTTTAAAATTGTAACGTTTTTAACAATTATGTAGTTAGGTAGTTTAAAGCTATAATGAAGTCAGAATTCGGTAGTTGAACTTAGTTTCAAATTTAACCTAATCCTTGGAAGTTTGACGTTAGCGACTTATTATTGGCAACTGGCGGATCTATAGGTATAGTTCAAYTAATTTTAATATTCGATCAATAATTATTACTGTAGTATATAGATTTTGAATATACAACATAAGTCATATTTTTCTTTGCTTTCGCCTTTCTCCCAACTATTTGAACTATTTGAAGACTGATGGAGATAATATTGTTTCATCGACGATGGAATAGTGCACGTCAGCACTTAATATATGGTACAGCAAGGTTTCACCATAAGAATCGATGTTCACGAGTAAGTTACCAATGTTGTTATCACAATATGATTTCAGAGATTAAATTTACTTAAACTATACTCAAATTAAATATTTATTGTAGCCAAAAATCTATTAAAAAGGTGACGTATTATCATAGACATTTAAATACGAAAATTATCAGATCACAGTGTTAATAACAACGGTTCGAGCATCAACAAAATACACCAACACTCAACAAAGTGCACSTCAACAAAGTCATCTTGACCACGGCGCACGACTGTTGTCGCGGGCCTACGCTCTTCACCGACAACAGTACGTACGGATTCGGACTGTGTAACAACTATTTGTGAACATGCATGTGCTTACGCTTTTCGTGTTTCAAGCGTCGGCAATTTTTATGAGATGCACTTTGAAATTGAATCCGCTGGGCACTTTTTTTTATAATTGGGACAAATGAAACATTATGATCCTATAAATACCGTGACGACGATGACCGTGAATTCAGTGATTTGCCGTTCGAATAGTATCCGAAATTGTGCGGGTGACCGATTGTCATGATWATGCGCACAATTGCACGGTATAACGGCGTGAATGACGCTCAGATCAATAAGCCGCTCAACTTGTTAAGGGACTACGTCATGCGAAATGAAATCTCCGACCTCGCAGTCGCCTCTTATCGGTAGCGACAAACGACAGATTTGTTCAGATTAAGACGCGTGATGTTCCGCGGGATAATTAATAATATGACRCGCAAAACGCAAACATGGAACATCCGTACAACAGATCACAACCATTAAGGAATAACTGCGGACGACTGTGTATGTCGCTGATCCACCCGATAAAACAATGTAATGTATTGGTGTATGGCTATAACCAAAAACAATATGCCAAAGCTTTTTGTATAGTAATGGTGGACCAACGTTTGGTGGCGGCGCCCCTGTCGTTGTTGAGTATTTAATGCACGCAGAAAAAGACGAACTCGGAACAACGTCTCGCATGAACGGATCAGAGTCAGTTCTGGATAACATGTCTCAGTCACGACATCAAGAACAGTTTTTACTACGATCGAGACAGCTSTGGACCGGACAACAACTATAATATTATTGTATAAAGTTGTAAAGCGTTGTGGTTATTATAATATGACCAATATTATGACCGTCAAAAATCTCCGGSGTCCGTAATGTTATTAATGTAAAAAATTTTTATTGTTATTTAAGATAACCCTTGACGTTGTGACAGTTGGGGGATTTTATGTATATAAATATATACCTATACATGTATATATATAAAGGGTGTTTCTTTTAAGTGGGTACACTAATTATCTCGAAAAGTATTAACTTTTTTTGCATATATTTTTCTTTTTAATTTCTATGTTTATGTTTTTCTAAAACCATATAATATTTTTTTTTACCCTTTTATTTATTGGCGAAATCACTATCAGCTTTTGATTTTCAAATGGTAATATATTATAGTAAAAATATCATGTATTAATAATCCCAATTTTCTTGTGAATTTACGCATTAAAATTTTTATTTTTCGTTGATTGGTTTGCGAGATAGGTACATCTTCTCAAACTATTGGTGGTTTTCAAAATATTTTCAACAAGAAGACCAGGGCTAGTCATAAATTGACCCATAAAATGACTAATGAACCCAAGGTAACAACATAAATAACAATTAATTAAAGATTGCCATTGTACTTTGAACCCTAATCATTTATTAACTTATCGACTTATTGGACATACTGAATTACCCAACAATAATAAATGATAAACTGGAAATATATTGTGATAAATTTATTATAAATTATTTATAAACAGCCTTAACCGTAATACAATATACACAGGGAAACACGTACAAATATACGCACCAAGTAAATGAATCAAATTAAACACAATTTTGAATGAGGATAAACTATAAAATAAACAGATAAAATATTTGTGAATTACAAGACGTACTATATTTTTGTGTATAATGAAGATACTAATAATTCTATTAAACTGAAATAAATCTAATTTTTTTTAGATTTAATTAAGATGACATGTTCGATTATTCGGTACATTAAGGCAGTATGTAACATCGGTATTATAGTATTTCCGTGGAAAGTAAATGGTGATAACGATAAACGAGTAAGTGGAAACGAAAATTGAATAGTTTATTTTAGGAAGTCTTTTTGGTCCATATCCACATTAGGAATGTAAATAATTCATGAATAAATTATAAATAATTAATTAAAAACGGTTGTTTAACTGTATAATATATTATTAAAGGCACCAAGATGCGAATGTAATGGTTGAATTACCGCGTGTAGTTGTAGTTGCCATAAATCTTAAAAATTATTTTTGAATACTTTAAAAATTTTTCATTCCATGCTCTTTCGAGGGGTCTCAGATTAYGTCACTTGACAGTGCATAGTGATAATATTGATATTTAATAGTATTTTAATATATTAATTACTTTTGTAGAAAATTCAATCAAGGTTTCGAAGGTCTGCACACAGTGACACCTGCAGCAATCACCTGGATTATGAACCTCAACATCTGTCTATGAACTCACATCGCAAGAACGACTCACTTTTAAATTTGTGATTTTTGAATAATTATAATGCTATATGTTATATGTATTGTATTAGTTATAGATTTTGATAGTTAATTTGATTTGTGTTAAAAGCTATATGAAATAAATAAAATATATTACTATTGTACTTTAATACAGAACGGACTAAAAATCAGTACCTAAAGGGGTACTCGATTGATATATTGTACTGGATCAGAAAATTCTCAACAGTAAATCTTTCGCATTAGAAATCCTGACGTTTATGTTTACCTTTCTTACAAATGACGTCCATGTGGTCATTAAAAAAGCGGTTATTATGATGACATTATTTCTAAATAAATTATCGATGATTATACATAATTATTATTGTTATTATGTAATACTGTACCATTTTACATTTGTTATAATACGATTTTTCCTTCGAGTAATAATGACATCTGACAGCATTTATTTATATTAATTTCAAGCACATTATAGCGTCTCACCAAACGAGTAGAATCTATCAATGACGATTTGTAGCGCATTTGACAGTTCTCATACATGTTAATAGAATAATACATTATTATATGATTGAAAAAGATCTTCAAATAATAAACATTTAGCATTCAAGAATTAAAATATCGTTTATTTTGCAAAAGGAGAATAAAASAGTTGAAAGATGACCACCCTGTAGTATTCCCAAGTCATGACGCAACTTTGAACGGATCCGAAGAGATATTTTTTTACGATCACTTGTTGAGTTCTATGAGATTAATTGTACCTATGACAAAAGATTTCTCAGATGCTATTTTATAGTTTTATATTGCTTTGAGCGGAGAGAATAAACTGTGCATACAAATGGGCGGTAACATTTTCAGATTAGACTCTCACACGCGCTTAAGTTTATCTAAATGTATTACTTTGACTATATAGTCACATCAAAATACTGTAATATCAATTTGCCTATATTTTTCTCCTTAAAACACAACCGACGAAAGACAGGAACATAGATTTGGAAGGTGTTGGGAGAAAGGGTTTAAKTCCATTTTTGATCATTTTAATGCAAATAGTCGATTTTGAACTTTGAAGGACATTTTGTGCCGCATCAATTGGTCAAATTTTCATGCACCCATCATTTGTTATCAATTTATTGTCATAATATGCGTTTTGATTCAAGTCATAACRGAAATAATTTGTGTTTTGAGAAACGGCCCAAGTCCAACAACGTGTTATCTCTGTTATGTGATAAACGGACTAAGTTATTTTTATATAATATATAATATAATATAATATATTGTTTTTGCATAASGACAAGTCACACACACATTTTATTTCGTTTCGTATATATGATATTATTAATTGATGTTTTTACCTTTTTCGAATACCAAAATAAATGTATCAATAGTTTTAATTGTTATTACAATTTATTTGCTTACTTGCAAAGTTAAAATAAAATTATTATAATAAATACTTACTGCGGTAAACAAGTTATCATTTTTAATTCGATACTATTTATGAAATTTATGTATTTACTATTTAGGAATCGGTTAGCGCCATAAAAATTCTTACGAACTGTTCAATTTTGAAATATGCACAAATAATTACTATAATACTTATTTCTAAATAATTAGTATTTTTAATCAACACTTCACGAAACATTTTATACTTAGCAGTTTAGCATTCCCAATATTATACGATCACTGTTCGACCAGTAAATAATACAAACAATGCAATTATATACGAATCCAAACTCAGCAATAAAATATTTTTGATTTTGTTTAAAATCATTGTCAATAAAATGAAAAGACAACATTTTTTTATACAGATATTATTATTATATTTAGTTAAATACCCATTTAATAATATAAAATAATTAAGAATTAATTAGTTTTGTGAATTGTGCTAATTATATTACCTCATTTAAAAGTTAAGTTAATTTGATTGATTAAAAATAAAATCTGTTTGGATAATACACTGCGAACACGTCTATTATAGTTTATAATATGGTTGAAGTATCTAGAAATATAGTGTTACCATCAAATTTTGATATTTTTTATTTCCTATATAAAGTAACTTATAAACTGTTATAATATGAGTAATTGTTTAATAGTCATAGAAACTGGACACGCAAAGCAAACAAATTAATGTTGATCGCCGATCGGTATCATACGGAAAAACTTTATTTGTTTTTTTAGCGAGCTAAGCATACAAGACACAATTATTGAATTTATTATATATAAATTACATATTATTAAATATGCAAATGATTAAATCGGAATCGTCTGAAAATGCAACTACCTCGCTTTCGCTCCACGGATCTGGGAGAAAAATAAAAAGGTCACCGTCACGTACGGATAATAAGTTCCGAGGGAAAAATTTGAACATGATGATTAAGAGGTTCGTTGTTACCCACTTCTTGCGGTATTTCCAAAATAAATATTGCGATTTTAATTGCAGGCTATCCGAGACCTCTGCGAGAACTGTATGTCCACGCGTCGACCAAAAACTTGTCGGGTACCTGGAACCGTTGTACCAGTGTGCMGGTYATTGTGGGTTTTCGTTACATCGTTCATGCTTGACAGCTTTTTACTGATCTAGGGCTAAATTACTACAGTTGGTTCTCAATGGTTCTGTTACGACTGTGGGACATGTGCATCGGAACCGCCATGCTCAGTATCTGCAGGACGTGTAAATATATATATATACATTTCAAATAAAAAAAAATTAATTGTCGCATAAAATTTGTTGTATACATATAGATAACATGTCTATTAAAGTGCAATGGATGTATTAAAAAATACCATTTTGAATGCCTTCAATCTCCAACTGACACGGATAAACAAAAATCGCCATGGAGATGTCCATTTTGCATAGTTAACCAYGGCGCCGTCGTTTCTATTGGGACAGAACCATTACATGAGCACTGTGAAGAAAAATCGGCTTTCAAAATAAGAAGGTATATGTTTATAAATGAAATATTAATCTATTTACTAGTTCAGTGGTTCTCTAGAAGGTTGGGTCCTAAGTATACTTCGAGGTAGTAAAAAATACGAATTGTAATTAGTACCAACATTTTAATTGATAATTCTTTCGATAATATGTTCACGTTTCGGTAGTGGAATACTTATCTATAAGATATTGTCATATTGATGGTTTAGAAGCTGAAAGTTTTCATAAACTAATTACACAGAATATTCTATTTTAGTTTTTTAATTCACTAGATAACTTATTTAYGCAGACATTATCCCTGCAAGGTTTGTCAGTATTCAGTAATGATTTAAACACCAACTAATAATATAAATTTATTATGATGGTATGAATTACATAAGTACTTATGTTTTGGTGTAAATTTCAATATATGTATTATCATTATCACGGTGAATATTACAATCATTCATTTCATAAATTATTTAAATAATAATAAGAAAAGAAAACGAGGAATTTGCTGTGATATAATATAATACATTAGTATGGGCTATAGCCTATACCTAAGTGTAGTACACATTTAGATTGGGAAGGCCTTGTAGTCTGTAACGGCTGTACGCAATTTGAATTTAATAATAAATTAAATCGTTATATAATATATTTTAGTAATTTCTTACTGTATAAGATGCAACACCATTTATTTTTAGTATATAATTAAAATTTTGATAAATTTTTACAAAATTCGAGTATTACTCGTAAACTTTTGAGGATTCTATCATAGTTTAATAAGAACTTAAGATTTTAAACAGGTAAATCCTGTAAATAATTTAAAATGTGCCGAATGTGTTTAAAAATGTATAACTCAATTGAGACCTGTTCAGAAATTTTTATTTGGTGAAAATAATATCAAGTCACCACAAATATCTATTCGTTTTTAAATTTAAAAAAAAATTAGTTTTGCGTAAATATTATAGTTTTTTCATATAGTAAATATTGTTCTTTTAAGTACATACTTGATATAATTTACTACCAAACACTAAAGTTATAGATAGGAATGTTTTTTTAATTATATGTATTTAAATGAAATACGTTATAAAATTATATATACTTAAATAAAACGATTGATTATATACGAAAAACGATCTGAGTGAAGACGACCAGTCAACTGTCAGTTTATAGTACTTTATACAATATTAATTTTATCACCAAATATCCCAGTATATTTTATGATATTATTGTACTATCAAGATATTTTGTTAGAAGACAGAAACAGGKGCCTGAAAACTGGACTGTGTGTCTAGAGTCGATGCTAAATATTGTTCAAACTATAAGTCTATAAAGCACAATCAGTGCGTAGAGTAATAGGTCAGCGTCGACCAGATATCAAATCATTGAATGGAGGACCAGAGTTAGAAAAATATAGTTCTGGAAGGAAATCACGATTGCTTGAATCGAATAAAATAGAAAAAAACCACCCTTCACTTCCTAAAAACGAGAAAAAAAGAAAACTGACTGCTGAGGATAGCGTCACACAATTGAAAAAAGTAATAAAGACGGATTATTATTTATTTCAGTATTTATTAATTCATTGAAATTTTAACAGAAAAAATGTGTAAGACCATTCATTGTGGGTTTCAAATATGAACGTTATGTCACGAAAAACGGTAAGTCTCCTTTCTTGACTCTTCGACCCCCCTTGACTGTCTTGATTAGTGGTATTGTACGATTTTCCATCGTCATGGAGAAAACAAAACTATTTAAGCAAAGTTTTACGTTTAATGCGCGAGATTAGAACGGGGAGAGGGTTAGATGTGCTGAATTTTATTTATTTTATTTTATCCATTGCATGCTGTATGTTTTTATTCCTGTTTCTCTATCAATTTAATATACCTAGTGTGTAGATTGTAGATAGTAGCTGATTTAATATAATATCATACCACAATATTGTATTTATTTGTTGAGAGTATATCAGATAGCCTTAACCGTTTAAACAACGATAATTGCATTGCCGTTACTCAGACAGCGGACTAGGAATGGAAAATTGAAAAATAAACAAATATCAAATTCGAAGTAATATGACTATATTACGTCACACTTTTATCACTGTATTTGTGTCGGTGACATAAATATACGTCCCAAATAAGTGTAGTTGTATTATGAATAGCTTGTTTTAAATTTTTCATAGAGTGAAAAATAAATATTTGGGGTAAAACGTATAATACATAGGTATAAGTGTAACACTGGTAATATGATAATTTTAATATTCAATACAATTTTGTTAATTATTTCAATTAACTATTATTTATTGACTTACGTATTTTATTTCATGTTCATATATAAAATACGGGGTTTCACCCGTTAAAGGAAATCTCTGCTATAGGTTAGCATCTACAGATAAAGCTTAACAGTATCGACTATCGATATTATATAGTCTGCTATGATATTTAACAGTTTATATTAGTGTTTATTTAAAAATCTCTGAAAAGATAAAAACACCGTTAAAGAATGTAGGTTTTAAATAATTTATTATTTTATTATAATATATCTTATATTTAATGTAATCTCTAATTGACATTTGACATTATAGAGAGCAACTCGATCTCCAATAAGATTTCCAGCTGTCATACATTTTGGGAAATTCAATATGAAGACTTGGTTTTCAACCCAATTTTCACAGGACCATGATGCTATAAAATTGATTTTTTGTGAATATTGTTTGAAATATACTCAGTGCCAATCGGTTATGAGAAGACATATGCGATGTTGTAATTGGAGAACACCGCCAGGAACTTAAATCTACCGAAACGAATGTCTAAGCATTTTTTAAGTTAATCAATATGTTTTAAACAATTCATAAGAGGTAAACTATAAAGTTGTTTACATTTTTTTCCTACAGGTTGATGGAAGTAATCACAAAATATATTGCAAAACATYGTGTCGAATAGGAAAACTATTTTTAGATGTTAAAACTCTGGATTATGGTGTTGAACCGTTCCGTTTTTATATTCTGACGAAAAATGACTTTGCCGTAAGTATATATATTTATTTTGTATTGTATTTTATAAAGTTATATACCATTGTAACCATTTTTCATTAAAAATGTTAAGGGCAGMCATTTAGTTGGTTATTTTTCAAAATCGAAACACAGGGAGAACAATTTTAACGTGGCTTGCATCATGGTCATGCCACAATATCAAAGAAAAGGGTACGGGCGACTTCTAATTGAATTCAGTAATTGAAAATTATACGAAACTAGGCAGTTGGTTAGGTTAGATTAAACAGATATYACGTGTTATCAATCTTTTTAGGTTATCTCTTATCTAAAATTGAAAAACAGCCTGGAACACCAGAAACACCCCTCTCCGTCTTGGGTCAGAAGTTGTACAATTCATATTGGAAAAGTGTTATATTGGAATATTTAGATAAATACGAAAATAATGCCAATACATGTATCAATATGTATCAATCATGTTATCAGTAAAATAGGTAATTTAAAACTTTTTAATCTGTATATCGTGAGATAATTATAAAATAGTAACACATTTAATTCAGGTTTAATGGAACAAGACATCATCAATACCTTAAATTCTCTGAACTTTGTTGTGGAAGTATTTAACAGAACTACAATATGTATTAACTGGGATATTGTAGATGCTCATAAGGTTTATATTTATATCAACCCAAAAAAATTGAATTGGACACCTTCAACTAAATCATAAAATTTAATACATTTTATGATTTATTTATTTATTTTTTACAGACGGCAAAGTTAGTTTAAAAGAGCACATAACACAAAAAAATGATCTTGATTATTTATATTGGTATTTGTTAGTGCGATATATAGAGAATAACTTAGCTTGCAGTCAGTTAGGGAACAATATCCATTTGAATATTTGATAGTTAAATAAAATTATATTTAATTGTTACATAATTACTTAATATGATTTATTTAAATTATCCAATGAGTGTGTGAAATATTTTTGTTCAATATACGTTTGCTGACATGGACAATGAGAATTACAAAAGTATTGGTCTAGGCAGTGGAGTGGCTTTTTATCTAATTCTGACTTATACCTAACTTATATGTGAGGTCTAAAATCCGGTTTTTTTAAATGAAACTTCTTTAGGTGCTTTAGCGTAAGTCGAATTCATGGRCTCAGCGGTTGCGACCAAAAAGCGTCACGAGCGTGGCTTGCCGGACACTCAGCGTCCAAATAGACGATCGGATATTGTTGGCTGGTCAGTGGTCATTGTGTTCCTCCTAGCATAGTACGAATTCCGGAGCCTACGAACTGGACGAAAAACGTCTGTGTCTGTKTACTACAAACTAACTCTAATACTAAAACAATATAATAATATATAATACTAAAAGTATTAAAAAAAAAAAATACCGTACACCAGACGGCAGCTAACAAAATCCGATCGTCGGATTCTTTCCGTTTTCATTTTTTTTTTTTAACGAAAAAAGTTCTTATTGTTTCAAAATCCATAATAATTATGTTTAAAAACTTCAATAMATTTTTGTAGCTCCAATATCGGAAGTACAATTATCGTATAATAGGTAGGTATTATTTCAGTTTAATTAACGTTATAGGTTAGTCTACGTTTACATAGATTTTGTTACCTACGAAATTCTTACTATTTTACATTTAAGGTTATTAAAATTTATATACCCAATATTCTACTTTAATTGTATACGATTTCCAGATATATTATAGAATATTGCGCTGTTGACTTAAACCACTAAGGGCCAGCTGTACCAGTCTAGTTTAAACTAAGTTTAAATTAGATTTTTATTAAACTCAGTTTAAGACCAAATCATATGCTATACAAGACTAGTTTAACATTTAAACCCAGTTTAAAATCAAGTTTAGATAAACCATCAATCTTGATGGTTTAAACTAGGTTTAGCAATATTTTTGCCATAGATCATCCATCATCCATACATTTTGACAATTATGAATTATTATACTGTGATATTATGATAATTTGTGTTATAAAAATTTATTATGCAAATAATTATTTATACTTAATTAAAAATGAATTACGAAATATCGGAGAATGAGGATTTTGTTGAACTTATAAACTTTATTGCGAATGAACATCGAATACCAAGAATATTCAGGCAGCGTCCAGATTGTTTTCACTGTCTTTGTGATTTTGAGTTTTTAGAAAGGTTTCGTCTATCAAAACCAGCAGTATTGTATGTACATGATCTAATTAGAACAGAAATTGAACATCCAACAGACAGGTAATTAAAGTTATGTACAACTAAGCTTTCCTCCAGGATATGCGTCTGAATAAAAATAAAATAAAATACTAAATAGTACTTAATAATAAAGAGGACCAGTGGGTTAGGTTACTCTGCGCCTCTGTTGTACCTATACAGTAGTTAGCATTGTGCCATTGTATGCTCACTAYGCATTGTGTTATATTTGAGTTCAATGATAAATCATTGCATATACTAAATTAAAATGGTATCACCACATAATTATAATATCTGATTACCACTAAAGACCAAGGCAAGGTGTATTTATGTATTTATAAATACAATACACCTTGCATCGACTTATACCGAAATGATTAAAGTATGAAGATRAGATTGACTCACATCTGTGGAAAACGACGCTATTTATACAGAAAAAATACCTAGTATAGTACCTACCACTATTTATAAATTTTTTCATTAATTATCAATGATGGCATATTATATAAATGCTTATTTTCGGCTGCACCCAAGTTCGGTCCCTAACATTTTTCGGAAAGTACTACACCATACTCACTTTTTCCTTCCCATTTTATCGACTTAGGACTGTATGATCTGTATATCTATCCTATAATCTATTTGTAGTTTAGATGAAATGCAGTGTTAATAATGTATTTTAATTGTTTTTTTTTTAAGTTTCTTTACTATTAGATTAAGATAGACATATTACAGCGATTTATTAATATATAAATATATAATCTGTAATTGATTAGCACAATATATAATATACACAAGCATATCCAATGAATTAACAGAATAAGCATGACATTTTACTCGACTATAAAACTATTATTTTTAATGAAACCTATATTATATATAGTATGTTTTTATTATAGGTACCTACTTTTTAATATTAATTGACATTTGCATAAGTATTCAAAAAACTATAGGATTATTAATTTATCCAAAGAGTATGATTGTTTACCAAGTTCTTTGGCTGCCGTCGGTTCTAGGCCCTCTGCATACAAATGAGCGGTGAGTTTTACACATTCTTGCGGAGTTAAATGGTTTACCAAATACATGAACATGGACAGGTTTACGTCTTGCGTGGAGATGATATTCGACACGAACAGGGTGATAAGTACGAGGGTGACACATTTTAGTCTGTACATATTATGATGGGAATATGGGATTATGTTTCGAACGATTTTTCATTCAAATAAAAAAATCTAATCATCTGTAAATAATTTTTACAGTAATCGTATAAACTATAATATATATTCGGTAAATATTTAGATAAGTACTACGTAAATATTAGGTATGATATTGGTATGATACGACAATATTATTGTTTGGAGACAACAAATCGAAATTGATATATAATAATATGTATTGTATTAGTCCATAGAAACGGTTTCATTGTTCATGACGTCATGTACACATAATATTATAKACGTTACATATGTATTATATATTTATATATTTATGTATAGGTACATTATTATAAAGAATCAATGGGTATGAGTCTATGACCATTATTCCTGTTCTTATAAAACCGTTTATATAGTTTTTACGAATAGGCAGGTTGTAGTTGTTAAAAATAGATATTATTTATGTA